ACATTTTGACAGTCTGTGCACTATGACTGACTATATGTTCCTGTTGGATAGAAAACTAGTGCTAATGTTTTGATCAAACGACTCAATTATGAGTCAGGTTTGCTGTGTTTTGATAAAGTTAGTATATGTAGAAAATGGTATTTTGCATTGTGAAATGTAAAGTTTGTATTTATTTAACAAAATGTGGTTTTGGTCCGAAAATGAACCATTTGGCCAGGTGTGTGATGTAACTGTGTTGCTGTGTTAAGAGTTTAGAAAAAGTATTTTAAGTATTGGTTAATGCTTGTTAGCAACAGAAAAAAACTGTAGTATCTGCAAATACTTTTGCCCTGTGGGTGGTTATGCAGAGCCATCAGCCTCTGTACTGTACAACACTGTATACGTGAAATGCAGTATATGTAAACACAATAGAAGTCAGACCAATAGTAAAGACATTTTTGGTAAAATTGCACAAACATAGGAGATGTAAAAGTGTTAAAAAGCTTCAGCTGTGTAGAGAGCTTGTGTTTAGACAAGGGTGTCTAAACTATAACTCATGCTGTTGTAGTCTTCATCATCACTGTTCTCAGATTCAGACTCTGCTTGATAACTGGCTCTGGACTCGGAGTCGGAGACAGGCCCGATCTGGACAGAGATTGAATGGACATGAGTATATTTATATTCCAGCACACCTGGCAGGTGACCAAATCATCTTTGTGGCAGCAAGTTTAAATCTTTTGCTTTACCTGTTACAGAAAAATACATGAGAATGGATCCTAGTTCAGATTTTTTTTTTGTCTCGTACGCTCCCTGAGTAAGTGTTATGCACCACTAGGAGTCAGGCAAGCTCTGCTGCTGACTGATTGGCAATCGGTGATCTATTATCCAGCAATTGGTAAAGGCTTTATTTAGATGATCACTTGTAACATCATAGAATGTTCCTTGTCTGATATTGAAGCAGATGAGCTGCCATGTACCAGCATGTGGTACCAGTAGGTACGGGATTTGTCGAGGGAGACTGAATCTGTGAAAGCCAGTTCAGGCAAGCAATCCAGACATTCCTCTCTTGAGCAATGCTTTCCAGCTCCTTACATTGGACCCTGAGGCATTCCCAGGCTAGATGAGATATATAATCCCTCTATATGTTCCAGGTGTACCTGGGGGTCTCCCCATAAAACCTCCAGTGGAAGGTGGCCAGGAGGCAACCTAATCAGATGTCTGAACCACCTCAGCTAGCTCCTTCCAACACGAAGGAAAGCAAAAAGCACAGAAGTGATTCTAAGGACACCCAAACCGGGAACACCCCTCCTCCAAGACCTACCTTGAGAGTTTGTCCATGAAAAGGATCAGAGACAAGGGGCAAAACTGGGGCAACCCACTGGAAACATGCATGACTTCTTACTAAGAAAATGGACACAAACTCTCACTCCAGGTATATAAGGACCATCTAGCTCGTAACAACATCCCCAGTACTGCAAATGGTAGTAGTAACACCAGCAGGAAGGAAGATTACTATTAGTAGTAGCTATTGAAATAGCTGCAAATACCTGTTCACCTGCCAGGTATGCCTCTTCATTTTCAGGTTTTTGTGGTTTGGGCTCAGTCTCCAAAAAGGCTACATAATGGATCAGGGTATAGATTCTGGACAAACGCAAAACAAGAATGTTACACTAGTTTGAGGACAAATAAATATGAGCATCACAATACTACTGGAAAAAATAAGGACATTTAGTGCAAATGGTCACCTGTGGAATAGCATGGCAAAGAACTGGATCACAGCTGATGTAGCAAATCCCAGAATGAACATGAAGCCAATGGGCTCAACCTGGATATAGTTTCCTGTTTGGTGCAGGTTGAGGTCGACCTCAGGAAATTTGATGGCAAAGACAGTGCTGAAGTGCTGTAGGGTGAAGGTCGCCATCAGCCACATGGCATTCAACATGAAGAAGGCAAAGTTGATCTGTGGGTCATGAGAAGTATAAGATTAATACCTTAATGTTTAAAATGAATGGCATCCTGTCAGATATGGTCCATAGATCACACCTACCTTGTTTCTGAGCTCTCGCAGGTCATTGGCAATCTTTTTCTGTTTCTCTTTGTCATCAGGCAGAGGCTCCAGGTACTTCTTCTGAAGCCCACACCAGAACTCCTGTTCGTCCTGCAGAGAAACACAGAAACCATTTCAGTTAATTCTTCTACATATTTACATCATCTTGTTTAAAACAATGTTGTGCACACATTTACTGGAATATCCAGGAATTCGCCATCAATCTGTGACTGTCTGACTTTAACAACCCACTTGGCTAATGAAAGATTTGTGTAGTGCATCCACTATCCTAGTTGTAATGATCACAATAAAAGTTGTTCATAGCATATAGTTAATATTTGTGCACATTTAGACACAATTAATCCCAAAAACTGCAAATACCTGGGTAGTGTATATAATTAGTTTCAACCCTTCTTGAGAAACTGAATATGGTGATCACCATTTTCATGAATTGGTGCAATACAATGTAGGACAGAGGTAATTAAATGTGCTTCAGAGGCTGACAATCAATAAAGCTAAAATGTTAAAACAACCAAGAATATGAGTCTTTTAAAATGGAGCACAGAAGTGCAATACACAGAAATGACCCGAAGTTACCTGTTGCCAGACAGAATTATCCTTGTTTCCTGTTCCAGCTTATAGTTGTCCTTTTGGTGACTGGCATTGTGGTTTTTCATTGATCTGTTGTTCATGTCAATGTGTACAGTATATAAGGTCATACTGGATTTGGAGCTTGGTAACCTGCCCTGCACACAGAATGTGTGATCAGAGCTTAATGGCCAACAAGTTCCTGTGGAAGCCTTGTGGTCTTGGCTTGTTTTGCTCTGATTGGACTTTATTTGTGGCCGGATTCCCTATTAACACAGATTTCAAATGCCACCAGGAATCGTTCCGTACCCATATTGTCCCAGGGTTTGTGTGTTTTGATTGTTTTTGACATGGGCCACACCTGAGCAGAAGCTGTGCTGAAAAGCGTGATATACAGTGAGGAACAGAAGTATTTGAACCCCCTGCGATTTTGCAAGTTCTCCCACTTAGAAATCATGGAGGGGTCTGAAATTCACATTGTAGGTGCATTCCCACTCTGAGAGACAGAATTTAAAAAAAAATTCAGGAAATCGCATTGTATGATTTTTAAAGAATTTATTTGTCTTGCACTGCTGAACATAAGTATTTGAACACCTGAGAAACAGCAAGAATTCTGGCTCTCAAAGACCTGTTACTGTGCCTTGAAAAAGTCCACCTCTACTCCACTCATTAATCTAAATTAGTAGCACCTGTCTGAGCTCTTTAAAGACACCTGTCCACCCCACAGTCAGTCAGACGCCAACTACTACCATGGGCAAGACCAAAGAGCTGTCAAAAGAAAACCAGAGACAAAATTGTGGACCTCCACAAGGCTGGAAAGGGCTACGGGGCAATTGCCAAGCAGCTTGGTGAAAATAGATCAACTGTTGGAGCAATTGTTAGAAAATGGAAGAGGCTAAAGACGACTGTCAATCTCCCTCGGACTGGGGCGCCATGCAAGATCTCACCTCGTGGGGTATCACTGATGATAAGAAAGGTGAGGAATCAGCCCAGAACTACAAGGGAGGAGCTGGTCAATGACATGAAGAGAGCTGGGACCACAGTTTCAAAGGTCACTGTCGGTAGAACACTACGCCGTCATGGTTTCAAATCATGCATTGCACAGAAGGTTCCCCTGCTCAAGTCATCACATGTCCAGGCCCGTCTGAAGTTTGCCAAAGACCATCTGGATGATCCAGAGGAGGCATGGGAGAAAGTCATGTGGTCAGATGAGACCAAAGTAGAACTTTTTGGTCTAAACTTCACTCATC